AACAGCACCCGGGTGTGTCCTGTGAGGGGGACTGAGCAGGCAGGAACAGCACCCGGGTGTGTCCTGTTTGGAAGAACTATGCAAATCAGAAAAGGGCGGCCAGAAGGGAGCATGCTGGCTCTTGGTGCTCCTCAAGCTGCCCCTCTTCCATATGAAAGAAAACTTGATTCAGAGCCTCGCACTACCTGTAGTACCAGCTGGAGGCCGAGGCAGGAGGTCGCAAGTGTGAGTCCCGTCCGCTAGCTTAGTGAGGCCCTGCCTGAAAGGAAAATAAAGTGAGGGGACGTACCTCAGTGTGGCAAATGCCGAGTGCCTGTAGTGCAAGGGCGGGCCAAGCGGCATCCCAGGGCCCGACCCACAGCACCAGAGGAGAGAGGAAAGGACGCGCCTCAGTCAGCTTCCTTGCCCCTGAGACCAGGTGCCCAACACCACAACTTAAGGGTTTGTTAGAAGTGTCCATCCTGCCTGGCGAGCCTGCTCCAGGCAGGAGTGTCGGGGTGCAGGGTCTGGCAGCGGAAAGCAGGGCACGTCGTGGTGGTCAGGAGGACAGCAGGCATGGCGCACACCTGTGATCTCTGTACAGGGAGGCTGAGGCAGGAGGATCGTCGGAAGTTTGTGACAGCCTAGGCTACAAAGTGAACTCAAGGCTGGCCTCAGCTGCATAGCAAGAATGTCTCAAAAAGACAAAAAAAAGAGCAGCCAGGAAAAGAGAGGGACCTTCCAGGCCATTCCCAGTGACCACCTCTTCCAGCCAGGCCCCCCTCCTACCACGAAGTCACCTATACACCCCATAATCCAAGCTCTTCCTATAACCCCACCTCTGAGTTCATGAGGCTTTTGGGGCATCTAGAGCTAGCATACATTCTACTTTTGGCGCCCCAAAGACTCATGCACATCACTTTATGCAAAATGCATGTAGCCATCTGTACGAGTTCCGGGGTCCTTACAGGTTCAGCCTTGCTCTAGAGCCCAGTCCATAGCTCAGCAGATTAAAGCACCTGCAAGCAGGCGCAGGGGCCGGGGGTTCAATCCCTGGGCCTGCTATGCTGGCCTCACACCCAGAGTGTGCTGAGACAGCAATTGAGACTGGGTGTGGTGGCGCGCACCTGTAATCCCAGCTCTTGGGAGGCTGTAAACAGGTGGATTCACTATGAGTCCAACTAGTAGCGGGACCCTGAACACCCTGTAGACCCTTCCCTAAAATACAAAAAAAGCCAAGTGCAGAGTCCCTTCTGAGACTTAAGGCCAGCTCTTCGCTGCAAGACCCTGTGAAAATCAAAAAGGAAGTTCAACGCTGCCAACATACAGTGAGTGGCACAAGGCAGACGTCCCCATTCCAGAAGGAGAACGAGGGGACTAGAGGACATGAGGTCACGGCAGGCCGAAGCCGAGTGGGGCATTCAGTCCTGCCGCTGCATGCCCAGTGCCCAGGCAGGCTGTGGCAAGATGTGCGCTCCAAGGGGCTCGGCGCGCCACCCCTGTGGCACTGCCGGTACCTGTGGCCCTCACGGGCTCTCTCTGGGGGTAGTTTTCCTCCCTCCTGTGTCTTTCTCCAGATTTTCCATGGTCCCAACTTCTCCAACCCCTCATGATCTCCACTGCACGTCTGGCTTCCCCCTCACAGCTTCGCACGCTGCCCTCTCGGGCACGCTGCCTGGCCTCCCAGGCCTGTTTCTGAAGTCTGGGGAGGCCATCCTGACCCGTGCCTCTCGTGCAGCCTGCCTGTACAGCCAGCACCGGGTGGGCAATGCCAGGGTCTGCGACAGACGCCAGCAGTGCCAGGCCCCTTGAGCTGTGGCTGCACCAGCCCTGAGAGCCGGGCTGGCTGTGCGCAGTGCACAGAATCCAGGAAGCCACTTTCCACTCGTGAGCAGAGGACCTGGAGGCTCCGCTCTTAGCTGTCTTTCCCTTCTCCACCCAAGTCTGTGAAGGGAAGGTGGGGTCTCCTAGATTCCTCCCAAGCCTTCAAAGCATCCTTTCTAATGTCAGAAATGAAGTCCTTGCTTCTCCTAATCTTTTCAGCAAATAAATTCTGTCCTCCAACTGGACAGGGCCCAACTGACAGGAGCTCCATTTCTAGTAAAACTGAAAACTTTTGCAATTGCTCAGCTATGTAGCTTGTTCTTGATTCTGGGGTAGACCTAGCTAATGGTGCCCGTGTTGCAGCCTGAATTTCGGGCTGCCTTGAAATTGCCTCCCTAAATTAATTATTTCACCACCTTTAATCTCAGTCTCCTGTAAAGTCTTAGGACATGGGCAAAAGGGAGACAGATTTCCTTACAGGGCTTAACACACATGGTCTGGAGTCCAATGTGAATGGGCTCCTTCTTCGCAGCTGAACCCCAAGCCTGGTCTTTACCCCCACCTGTGAATCAGCATTCTGGTCTATTCCTGCACACTGTTCCAAAGGTTCCAGAAACATCTAAGGACAGCCACAGCCACATTTGTCGGGCACCAAAGTCAGCCCTGGTCACTTAAGCCAGGGACAGATTACCAAGTGCCTGTAGTGTAAAGGAAGAGAGGGCTTTTGGTTCACAGTTTCAGTCTATGTTTGGCTGACTCTGAGGGAGAAAGAGGGTGGCAGAGAAAAAGGCAGGGGAGGGAGAGGAGGGGAGGACAGAGGAGAGGGGAAAAGAGGAGCAGCCGCAGACCTTCCTTGAGGGTCTCTGCTGCTCCCTTCCCCAGTGTCCTCTTCCAGCCTGGAGCAGCACCTCTCTGTCCCCCTCTTAAGTCTAACAGTGGCAGTCCGCGTAAATGTGCACCACAGGCCCACAGTGTCCCAGAGCCTCTGCTCTTCCATCACCCAAGAAACAAGGCGTTCTGGGTAAAAGATGGCTCGGTAGAGTGACCAGGGCTAACTCGGGCCCAACAGATGTGGCAGATGGCTGTGCGCACAGAGAGCTGACGACCATCGCAGTCTGATTTCTAGTTCCTTATTACTCTCACAAGTGGAAAAACAAACGTTGTGATGTAAGGGGCTGAATACGTTTGGGGGCAAAATATAAAGAAAGGGAACAACAGGCCTGTGTGGGAGAAGTCACTTGCCACGCTGCTGGGACCAAACACCTGACGCCCATGGCTTCAGGAGGAGGTTCACTTGGGCTTATGTTGCAGAGGTGTCAGCCCCAACAGGGTCTATGGCTAGAGCCGGTAAGGGGCTCACTAGGCCCGACCAGGGGGAGCTGGAAGGGAGGTGACGTGTCCAGGCCGCGCCCAGGCAGTGGCCACCTCCTCTGACCAGACGCCGCTGGCCACCTGCAGGTCAGCTATGAGCCCATAATCTAGTCACCCATGAGAAGGCCCACCAGTGGTGGCCTGATGCTTCAGGGGATGCCTATCAGCCAGAACAGAAAGAAGAGAAGAGAAGAGGGGCGGGAGGGGAGAGAAGAGGAGGAGAGGGAGCTCAGAGCTGGGCACGCGGTGCGTGCCTGGGCCACCTGGTGAGACCGCGTCTCCCACTGAGCAGAAGGGCTGGACGTTGGCTCAGCAAATGTCCTCAGTCCCAGAACTACGGGAAAATACAAAGGGGAAGTGACTTGGGCGCCCCCAGGGGCACAGTGAGGCACACATTTCGCATTATTTCAAGAGGAATTCAAAGGGGCCCTGGGGCTGAGTGTGCTGCCCAAGGCCGAGCCGCTCCTGGGCGTGGATGATGGCGCGCCTTAGCTTTGCTCCTGGGAATGAGGAACATCTACGAATAGTGCTCTTTCTAGATGCCGTGACCGTGCAGATGCTCTCCCTGTGTGCTGACATCTCACAAACCTCCTAGAGCCCGGAATTCCTGGGGTTCCTCCTGCTGTGTGAGCCTGTTCACCAGGGAGCAAGGCCTCAGGGCTGCGGGGGCTGCACTTTGTGAGTGGCTGTGCTTATTATGGTGTTTGGGAAGGTGTTGTTGTTGTTGTTGTTGTTTTGGCAGAACTGGGGATTGAACTCAGGCCCTTGCGCTTGCCAGGGAAGCGCTTATTCCACTGAGCCATCTCCCCAGCCCTGGGAAGTTTTTA